GTGGTGCCGCGGACGAGGGAATTACCCCGGTTGGTAGCAAAGATGACGGTGGGAGCCATAGGCGTTTCTAGTAATGCGTTCAAATAAGTGAAGCATTCGATGTCAAGCATATGGACCTGAAACGCGGTTAAAGGGGTCAAAATAATGATGAATTGTCATTAACAGATCGTGAATACCTCATCAATGAACACCACTCCCGGAACCACCTCTGCGACACCCTGGTCAACATATCCTTTGACAACCTTGTTGACCTCCTTTCTTAGCTTCTCAGTCACTTCCGTTCTTCCGCTTTTGACCAAACTTCCCATGACACTCATAATATCCTGGCCGCCTTGTGGGCGCGCATTTGCGGCGTCCAAGTCGCCCAGTGTGACGTCTTGTACGAGCTCCTTGCGCTTGTGTACATCACCTTTTGGTAGGGGAACGTACGTCTCAGACTCAAGATCATACGACGAAGCATAAGCATCCGATCTTCCGACTCGCTGCATCGGAAAGACTACAGTTAAATTCTTCAAGAATTTCATGAAATGCTACGTAACGTACCTTGACCGCCCCGGTGTTCGCCTCAATATAGACCACGTCCCCAATGACAATTTTTTCCTTCAATATAGCTTCGTATATTGACGGGTCTAAGCGGAGCTGCTTCGTGCCCTTCACAGTCTTGAGTCCAACGATGACATGAGACACAGTCTTGCCATACCCACTCAGAGGATTTTCAGACTCTGTTGGCGTTAGCTCCGTCACCTCTCCTTCATAGACTTCTTTCGTCTCTTTTATTCGTAGACCTTAGAGGAAGTCGTAAGTTAATATGGGTCTACGCGCCAAGCGAATGAACGCGCCTATGGCTCTTCTGAATGACTCTGCAAGCACCTCCGTCTTCTTCACTTCTGTGCTGTAGACTTCAGACCCCACCATCGGACAGAACGGCACTCTCGCTCCAAGTTCTTGTGAAATGGCAAGTGCGAGAGCTGTTTTTCCCGTTCCAGGAGCACCGACAAGGAGAAGAGCGCGTCCAGAGAATTTGCGCGACTTCACCAAGTCTACCACAACGCCGCACGCCTATGAGAGAGTCTTTGAGTATGCGAATACGACCAGACGTGTCAAAAACTCCTCGTCACAGTCCAGTGCGTACCTCGCGAGCATTAACCTGCCCAACAAAACCCGCATTCTCAACGTTCGCGTACCCATCAGGCGACAAGCCAAGTCCTTTAATATGAGAGTGCGGTGCTATGCGCGAAGATCTAGATGCAGATGCGGTAGACGGCGGTGGGAGAGCATTGTGCGCAACGGGTGCCGTCGATGTTGAGGCTTTTGAAGACATGATTTCAGGCGTTCGTTGTCTCCGAGATCGAAGGTGTTGGGTTGGAAGTTGAGTGTTACTATCTTTTTGTGACCTAGCGTGACCAACGTGATGCTGATGTTACAGTTACACAATCACGGTGAGCTTTGTGGCGTTTGACGCCAGCCGCTGTCCCCTAACGTCCACCAATGTTATCATCAACACTGGCACGTCCTTCAATGCCATACCAGCCATCAGTATTGAACTGGCGTTACGGAGCTGACAAAATGCAACCATTACAGAGTCAGAACAAAGGCTGACTGAGTCTGATTGGCAGCCTCGGTCAAAATCCGAATGCCATGCACCTTGAGTTCGTTTTTTGGATATCTTTTCTCACATACTCTGGATCCACACTCTGCAGCAGATATGCCGGGCTCAACTCTCTCTGCCTCAGGAAGTGCACAAGAACTGGTTACCGCGCTGCTCGACAGACTCACATTGCAGTCTAGTAGCTTACGACAGTACGTCCTCCAATGCGGTCTGATTTCTACGCTAGCACGCCAGTACTCACGACTAAACAGGACACGATCAGAGTTCAGTATCGATGAGGTATCTCTTACCAGTCATCTGGAGCACACTTTACTTAGCAGTCAACAGCTTGACCGCCTGCATATGAGCATAAACTGCGTTTCACGCTCGTTGAGTACGATCCGCAATGCATTCGCACCCGTGAACACTCTCCCGTCGGAGGTACTCGCGAATGTTTTTGGAATGCTGGCGTGCTCCGTAAATACACCACGACCGTTTTTGCCCGATTTGGAGGTCTGCCGGGAACCCTACGCTTGGATTGTGGTAACCCATGTCTGTCGTTACTGGAGGGAAACGGCTTTCTCTTTTCCAGCTCTCTGGTCTACCATTGACAGTTACTCTACCCTCACCTCCCTCGCCTTCCTAGACCGCTCCGCAGCTGCGGACGCTCGCGTATACCTTCGAGATGCTGTTTCCAGTGTCGGTGTCAGCCCATGTTTGGACCGTGGACGCTTTATGCAAGCCATCGCCTACCATAGTGGACGTATCGAGGAGCTACACCTCCAACCTGCTTTCAAATACGGACCAATGATTCTCCAGTCTTTCCACTACCCTGCTCCCAAGCTGCGCGCACTGACTGTCATGCTGCGCTTGCACCAGGAAGTACCTCATGAGCTGCCCCTGCTCTTCGATGGGTATATTCCGAACCTGGAGAAGTTGACGCTGGCTAATTTCTCACAATGGCCACTTCATCAGTTCGGCACCAAACTCACTCACCTTTGTTTGATGGACCAGCCACATCGTGGACGAATGTCTTTGGATAGGTTCATGGATTTCCTAGCGACTTGTGAAGCACTCGAAGAATTGGTACTCGTCGACGCAGGGCCGACCGTATTCGATGCGTCCCCTGGATTAGGCAACAGTGACGGGAAATTCGCTCTTCTGAAACACCTCCGGCAGTTGGATATCGGGGACTGGCCGACCCCCCAATCCGTGGCGCGTTTCCTTGGACAGTTGATCTTACCGCCGTCGACCAAGATCTTCATATGGGCTGACTGCATGTTCCGAACACACGAGACCTTTTCGACGCTCCTTCCTCCAGACCTTCAGCATTTGCACCCGCTTCATCATCTCAAGGCCTTTCATATCACGTATCGACCAGCCAGAGGGGACTACCCGCAACTCCTGTCAATTCAGGATGGGGTGCTCGTATGCTACTTGCACTTTGCCATGTCCACAACGGTCGAAATGTTCCAGTCTGTCTTCAGCCAAATTGATTTGCAGCACGTGGAAGTGCTCACCCTCGGGATCCGTTCCAATCCAGAAATGCCAGAAGCGACTTGGCGAGACATCTTCACGATGATGCCTCGGGTTCACACTCTGAATGTCGTTCGCCGTCCTTCACGACCAATCCTAGCTGCGCTCGGTACTGAGGCTTTCGACGACGACGACGAGGTGCTGTGTCCAGCATTGACATTGCTCACTATTACAGACGACCGCGCCGTTTCTTCTATCTGCCTGTTCTTGTTCGCTGAGGAACGGGCACAGCGCGGTATACCTTTGCGGCAGTTGCAGCTTGGCAGCAAGACGAACATGTATTCCTCTTGCCTCGACGAGGAGATGGACGACCTGCGAAGTCAAATCGCGGAAGTGGAGTATGTAGAAGACGAGGTTGTAGACGTCAGGAAACTACCCGCCGGCTGGCCCACTGCGACCTACCGCTGGCAGCTCAACATACGGCAAGGACGTACTAGACCCCTTCAGATGGCATGAAGGCCCAAACTTGTGGTTGGATCGTTACCTAGAATGAAATAGGATCTCTATTTTTTCTAGTATCTACGTTGGAGAATATATTATTCAGTAGCGCAACATTTTGAGCAACACAAGCAATACGAAAGCATGACACAAAACGAGAGAAACGAGAATTGAAGCGGTGGTCAACGCAAATTGCGTGAGTCTGACTGGTTTGACGGATGCAGCATTGACTGCAACTGTGGCGCGACGTCTGAATTAGTCCACGCGACCAGCTCTACTAAGACTGGACTCGCCTGTTCCATGACATTCGACTGCTGCTGACTGGTAGAGGCCGAGCCTTCTGCAGCCACAGGATGAACTGATTGGCCATCTCGACTAGCCGATTGCTACTGCAGCGACATCGGTCAATGCCTCAACGTCAACGAAACAGTAGGCCACTGACCGTCTCCTTTCCATTTGCCGACTTCTTTCCCGCCACCTTGCTATTCGCAGGCCCTCCAGTAGCCGAGAAGGGCTCATCTCTTGGGAGAATATCAATGAGGAAGTCAAACTGGTCCGACTTGCTGACCGCTTTGGCGATGTCTGCTCTCGACAGCGTTCGTCGTTTGTTCGAGTCGGCGATGATGAACGCACGCGCCGTGATCTCTGTAATGAAAACTAGGCAGCTGTCTTTATCAGAGTCCACTGCAGGAGGCCTCACGACGCGCCCACTCACTCTCGCAAGCCTTGCAGAATAAAATGGGTGCTAGCAAGCCACATGCTAATGTTAGCCAATCGGGGTCGCTCGTTTCATCGAAGCATACATGCAACGTACCATCGGCTGCTATCATCTGGAGGTGTACATGTTACGTAAGTTGTAGCACCTCAGACGACTATGGATGAGTACTCGCGTACGGTACCTTCACGTCTGGATCGCTCTTCATAACCTTCTTGATCCTAGCGAGCGGCAGCGGCGGGTGTCTGTAGTCTATCGTCTCCTGCTCGGCGGCGTCGATCTGTCGCTGCCAGAACGAGCGGAGAAATTCGTGAAGCGGCTCTCCGGGCTGAACATATGGTTTTTGGTTGTTGGACATTCGGCAGGACTGGTGGAGAGCAGGGCAAGATGAGAGTCAGGGACCCGGGTCAGTGATTGGCTGCAATTGTTGCGGCGTCTATATAGTAAGTATGTAAAGTTACCATGGTAAGTAATCCTGACAATTCCGGCATTCCCCGGTTATTCGGTCTGCTACTACTAGTATGTATTAGCTCGCAATGGCACCCAGTGTCGTCAAATACGTCGTTCTGTCATTTGTATTCAGTATCATGACAGACTCACAGGAAAATGTACCTTTCACTTTCGTAACCACTGTTCTCCAGTAAGGCTAACCAGTGTCTTACTGGCCAGCGCTGTCCGACTTATAGAGTAGTGATATATATACTTGCTCTGTCCACCCTACATGGCCGGCTAGCTCAGTTGGTTAGAGCGTGGTGCTAATAGCGTGTGATAATCTTGTCACGTAACTACGCCAAGGTCGCGGGTTCGACCCCCTCGCTGGCCATTTCTTTTCTTTTTCTTTTTGCAGCAGCTAGCTGGACCTGGTGTTGTGTGGAGATTGTAAGTAACCGTTGTGTTGAAAATAGAAGTAACCTGATGTACACAAAGGGAGGAGGGCACGGGCACTTTATAGAGGGACATCGCCCAACATTTTACCATGAGTCCCATCAATCTTTCTACTTTAGTCAACAATGGTGCTTAGCTTCTCTGCCTTCAGCTCTCACCTTCAACTTCATCCTTGCCATGCACACTAAACACAAAGTCCTTTTTGTGGCTGAGGAGCTCAAGCAAAACCCTAACAAGAAACAGGCTTAGACCAAGGCTAAGGCAATTTCTGGTATGTTGTCTTGACTTTTAATGAATGTTGTTGAACACATAACATAGTGTTGTGCTCTGCTCTAATGACTGTGGGTTTGTTGAGGGAGCCTCCAAGTCAGGAAATGGTCAGGAAAATGCTAATCAAGTATGCAGAAGAGCTGGTAGCGGCTGTTGAGAGGGATGGTGAAGAGGATCTGTTCAAGAATGAGTGAAAGAAGCCAGTCATTGATGATAGTGAGTTGGCACAAACACCGGTTGCTCATGACAGGCTGTAAGTCTTGTTCTCTGTGCAGTATTCAATGATGTATAGTATATCAAAATGAGACGGTCTCAGCTACACATGGCATGAGATATCTCACAAAGTTGTTTGTTATACAGCAAGAGTTGGAACATTTATGAATTGTGGATTTATTCAGTCAGACAGTTGTGCAGAGCAATAACACAGAGGATGCATTGAGCTAGCAGTGTTGCAGAGTGACTGCTGCTATGCTGATAAACCCTAAACAAGGGTGGAATGGATGACGGTGGAAGAGGAAAGGGATCTCCAACAACGACAACAAGGTCAGAGTCGATGATAAGCAGGCAGGCAGGCACAGAGGCCGGATACTAGCAGTGCAAATGACAGAGTTAATAGGGATAATACCAAGGTACATGCAGTAACTCACCTAGCAGTGCAAATGACAGAGAGGTCAAGATGCAGAGCTAGGGAGGGTAAGGTCTACTATATATACTGTGGCTGGTGGTCTGTACGCAAGTTCCCACACTAGGGACTGGAGTAACTGTGGGGCTGGAGCAACAATAGAACAATAAGGGACCAGGGTAACAATCAGGGACCAGGGTACATAGAACAATAGAACTAGAAAAATAGAACTATAGAACAATAGAACAGGAACAATAGAACCATAGAAACTGGGGGAATCCCTGGGGAATCCCTGACAATAGACAGAAAACAATAGACGGAAGATGTTACGAACGGTCTTCACACCCTATTATTTTCCTTTACTTCTTCGATTACCTTGATAACCAGTTATCTTCTTTGTCAATTGCCTGGACGATCCAACTCGTCTTTCCTCCATCATTCCCTGATCCACATCGCCTCCGTTCAACACGGACTATTATGTTACCATTTGCCTTCTGATGTCCATTCAAATCTCGGACCTAACTCCGATTGGTTACCATTGCCTTGGTGCAACCCTCGGCCTTTCCATACCTCCGTTACCACTCCATCGAGTCCAACCCCGTCTATCCCCTGTTTCGGATCCAACTCCGTCTATCCCCTGTTTCGGGTTCAACCCCTTCTCTATTGATTCCTGCCTCATGTTTCACCTTTCTATTGTTCCTTGTTTCCGCACCTTGACAGTCTTTTCTCTCATTGGCTTTCCAGAGTAGTAGTTGTTCTCCGTGCATTGTTCCTCCTTTCTGTTTCTCTGATTTGTTACCACTACCTCGGACTGGTCCAAAAGTAGTTAGGTCAACATGTATAAATAGCCGTTAGACATGGGGCTAGAACCTCAGTCTATCCACTTTGTATCAATATTCCTTCTATCGAACCATCATCTGTCTACCACTGTGCTTGACAGCGACCGCGCAGCCTAGACCATCATCAGACCTTGAGTGTAGCTACACCAAGGGGTTCTGACCTGACAACTTGTCCCTTGACGATAGTCGGTCTTAACAGAAGACAATAGGACAATAAGAACTGGGGGAATCCCTGACAATAGAAGGGGAACAATAGAACAATAGCCTAGGGTGATCTGGAACTGCTCCAGATTGAGTCTAGGGTTTGGGTCTGGACTATTGATAAATAAGGCAGGATGTCATGTGACCCAGGTTAGGGTTAGGTCCGGTAACACTCCTAGCCGGAAAATAAGCACACTAGATAGGTGCCTACTGCTGTAAACTTGTGACTATGTTGGAAAAATCTGCTGTCTGTTGGACTATCCATGTCAAGCAGTAACAAAACAGACAGGAGTATTGAAGGTATCTATGACCAGTAGACGTAGGCCTGTGATAGTTGAGACCTTATGTTTTGGTTATGCTCAGCCTTCCAATAATCTGTGCGGCATATTGTGCTGTGAACTCCGGTGCTTGCAAGCAAGGGTAGGCTCAATTGAGCAGGCATGACAGAACTGTGCAGATGCAAACTGTTAAACCACCTAGAACATGACTTAGAGTAAGTTTGTCTACAATGTGGTGGTGTGTACCATGCAGTATTGCACTTTGTCTGCACATAACAGCTGTTCCTTGCCGTGCAAAAATCTACTTCACCATCCCGGCTTGTTATCTTCTCAAGCTGGCAATACAGCGAGGTCGCAACATCAGAATCAGAGTGTTTGGTGCCAAGTAATTTGCACAATAGCACATGTTCACCCCCATTGCACTAAGTCTAGTTGATCTGACATCCTTGGTTGTGGTGTTGTTGAATTTGCAAGCAACACCCAAGTGGTAAGGCCAGATTGATTCCATGGGCAATTCAGTCTCCTGACAATGATTGTGAGATAGCAAACATATGTAGACTAAATGTTGTGCCCGTTGATACGCCCAGAAAACTGCTAAGCATGGGACCACAGCAGTTTCTATTCATTCATGCGCTCGCACCTTTTCCACAGCCAGTCCCTGCCTTCCCATCAGCACAGGCATTGCAAAGCAACACGGAGATGGCACTGTATATGGGCACAAGGTGTTTGCCGAGGTCACAAGATGTTTGCCAAGGATCCGAGGACTTACCATGTGGCAGCAACCTGGCGGCAATCCCCAAAGGCGCAAGCTTGCGCGAGCCCCTGACTTGCAGTCACATGTTCTCTGCATTGGTGCCTGGACCAACGGACTTGAGGGACCGGCCAGCAATCAAATGTTTTGGACACATGTCGGACAAACACTAGCAGAAAATTGATCATCACACCGTGTTTCACTGAAGCTCCTATTACGCCACGCTGTGTGTCCCCTGGTCAGCGCCGCATCACCACTTCACAAGACTGGCACCCTCTCTACCTGGAAGGTGCTTGTCGGCCTCCTGCCTTGGCATGTGCTGTGGCCTGCCGTGCATTGATTTGTTGATTGCTTTGCCTCTGTTTGCAGAAATACTTTGGCACATTGGTTTTTTGCTCTCGCATTTGGACTTAGGACCAGTGTCACAATCCGGCCCAACCACTTGACTTCACATAACCTCTGCACCTGAACACCGCGCCGCATACTCCGCATCTCCGCACTGACGTCATCATGACCCTTATCATCTGTTTCCTTTACATCATGCTGTGTTACAGTTCTCTTATCTCTCCGCAAGAAATGCGCAATTCCCTTTATTCCGCTTTTGTCGTGGATGGCCCGACTAGCCCTTAATTTTTGCAATTTAACTATTGTTTTTATCTGTAAAACTCCGGGCTGCAACCCAATTGCAACCTTCTCTGCATAAACTCCCTTTTTACGTCTATCAAGCGCCCGTATCACGTGGCTTAGACGCTCCACACAGTCACATTACTTGCTACTGGCATGTGACTTAGCTTAAGTAAGACCACATGGCTACAAACACATGGCTCAGCCCATAGCTAGGGTTTGACGTCATAGATACCGTTCACATGGACTCCTTTTGTTCTTTCCCTATTGTTCTCTTTATGGAAGGATGTTCTCACAGGTGTGGGAATGGAATACAATAGTTGGTCTCCTTTTAGATAGATTCTCTCACGAGTAGAGTTCTTGGCAAGGTCTAGACAATAGCTATTGTTCTCCTTTAGGTAGTTCTTTTGTTCTTCGTTCACACGGCTTCTTGCAAAGCCTGCCCTCAACATGGTCTGTGCGCAGGTCCCTGAAGTCTATATATACTACTGCATGTACGCTCCTAGCCCCCATCTCGACCTCTTGGTCTTTACTGGGCTAGGTAAGCCACCCCCTCTTGTACTATATAGCTGGTAGTACAAATACTAACTTGGTCTTTACTGGGCTAGCAGCTTGCATAAAGTTTGATAGCTGGTGAGAGCATTGTGCTTCAAGCCTGCCACCACCTCTTCGTTGTCTTCCACATCGTGTCCCTTTTAGTTGCGTCGAGCTTCGTCTCTGTGACAGCTTTCATCTACTCCTGTAGGACTTGAAATCATTGTAGTATATATACAAGACCCAACTGTATGTCAAGAACACAACCAAACTCTATGAAGAGCGAGGAAGTGACGATAGGGGGGGAGGAACGACAAGCGAACTCGCGTGGACGATGACGACAGGGGTAATGATGATGAGGAAAGGGGTAGAGACAAAAACGAGGGAACAGCTGACAATGAGCTAAAGACCAGGATATATTAGCACAGTGATGAGACTAGTACAAGGTGAACGTCACCTAAAGACCAGGAGGTAGAATCTGAGGTCTTTAGGGAGCTACAGGGTGGGTTTATATACATCTCAGACAAGGACCCCTGGTACCGGGTCTGTACTCCTAACACTGCCGTGGGAACATATGGTGTGCTATGGTGCGATGTTCTACAATGTTCCACAATGTTCCAGCACCTTCTATGATCATGTGACCAGTCTGTCACATGCACTTGATCACATGCAGTAGCCATGTACCATCGATAAGATAAGATAAGGAAATTAAAAGGAAAAGAAAGGAAAAAGTGTGCATGCTTGTGACATGTAGTAAATAAGCAATTCGAATATCGAATAAGACTTCCCTTCTTATCCTCTCTTCGTATGCATTCAACT